TGTGAGGTGGGTGGTGGAGGTGGGTGTACACGCTGTATACTGCTGCATTATACACCCCTAGTCAGTGGGCGGAGGGGGGGTGTCGGACACTGTACGTGGTGTCTGTTCTTGCATCATACAGTGGGGGTGTGCACTGTCAAGTGTCCCCCCCCCCCCCCGTCTACCCCTCCCCCTTGAGCGCCTCCCCTCTCCCGCTTGAGCGCCTCTTAAACTTGAGTTGTATACCAAGCTGTGTATTGAAAGTAGAAGTGTAATGATTCTTATTATGTGAACCTGCAGGTGTGGCTGGAGGGCCTGCAGGTGTGGCTGGAGGTGTGTGGTGTTGCTGGTTGGATGGGCTGGGGTAGTAGGCTGGGTGGGAAGGGATAGGTGGGGGTGGTTGTGTGGGGGTGGTTGTGTGGGGGTGGTTGTGTGGGGGTGGTTGTGTGGGGGTGGTTGTGTGGGGTGGTTGTGTGGGGGTGGTTGTGTGGGGGGGTTTGTGTGGGGGTGGTTGTGTGGGGGTGGTTGTGTGGGGGGTGGTTGTGTGGGGGTGGTTGTGTGGGGTGGTTGTGTGGGGGTGGTTTGTGTGGGGGTGGTTGTGTGGGGGTGGTTGTGTGGGGGTGGTTGTGTGGGAGTGGTTGTGTGGGAGTGGTTGTGGGGGGTGGTTGTGGGGGTTGGTTGAGGGGGAGGTGGCACCCACCAATAACCAGGCAGGTGCCGTCAAGGCCAGGAGTGGCTGGCGCTGATGACGTAGGCGTGACGCAGCTGTGACGTACCTGTGACCTATCTGTGACGTCACGGCACTGATGCCAACAGATCATCATCCAATATTAAGAGCGCGGAGGGGGAGTGTGCCAAGAGTGCCTGCAGGTGTGGCTGGTGGGCCTGCAGGTGTGGCTGGTGGGCCTGCAGGTGTGGCTGGAGGGCCTGCAGGTGTGGCTGGAGGGCCTGCAGGTGTGGCTGGAGGGCCTGCAGGTGTGGCTGGTGGGCCTGCAGGTGTGGCTGGAGGGCCTGCAGGTGTGGCTGGAGGGCCTGCAGGTGTGGCTGGAGGGCCTGCAGGTGTGGCTGGAGGGCCTGCAGGTGTGGCTGGAGGGCCTGCAGGTGTGGCGGGAGGGCCTGCAGGTGTGGCGGGAGGGCCTGCAGGTGTGGCGGGAGGGCCTGCAGGTGTGGCTGGAGGGCCTGCAGGTGTGGCTGGTGGGCCTGCAGGTGTGGCTGGAGGGCCTGCAGGTGTGGCTGGAGGGCCTGCAGGTGTGGCTGGAGGGCCTGCAGGTGTGGCTGGAGGGCCTGCAGGTGTGGCTGGAGGGCCTGCAGGTGTGGCTGGAGGGCCTGCAGGTGTGGCGGGAGGGCCTGCAGGTGTGGCGGGAGGGCCTGCAGGTGTGGCGGGAGGGCCTGCAGGTGTGGCGGGAGGGTCTGCAGGTGTGGCGGGAGGGCCTGCAGGTGTGGCTGGAGGGCCTGCAGGTGTGGAAGTAAAGATGGAGAGGTACAGATGAAGGGACAAGATTAAAAATGGGAAATAAGAGTTATGATAACCGGCGGGCTGTCCGCCTTGCTGACACTGCTAATATATATATATATATATATATATATATATATATATATATATATATATATATATATATATATATATATATATATATATATATATAATAATTTATGATCGATGTTCCCTTCGGGAATCTTAATTTTAAGATATATGTGGTCTTATATATATATATAAGATATAATCTTAATTTTTATGTGTGTTAGTTAATAAGTTATATTTGTATTGATCACTTTAAGTGCGCTTAAGTGTTTTGTTTTTTAAGCATTTTCCCTTCTTTGATAGACAATTATATTCAGTATGAGTTCTTTGTTTACCAGTTATTTGATTGTGATTTCTGTTTTTTTCTTTTAGATCTGATGATGAATACGAGAAGTATTCGAAACGTTATGCATTTTAAAGTATAGAATCTGAAACAAGATGTTCAGTATATCCCTGGTTTTCCTATTCATCTTAAAATATATATATATATATATATATATATATATATATATATATATATATATATATGCAAACAAGCCTGAATGGTCCCCAGGACTATATACAACTGAAAACTCACACCCCAGAAGTGACTCGAACCCATACTCCCACAACTGGTATGTACAGGGACGCCTTAATCCGCTTGACCATCACGACCGGACAAAAGGAAGTGATAGCCGAGGCTATATGAACCACTTCCCCGCCGGCACTCGGATGGTAATCTTGGGCATAGCATTTTATCAAATCACCTCATTCTTTGGGGCACACGTGAGGAACACAGTGTGTTCCTCACTCGTTCCTCCGAGTGCCGGCGGGGAAGTGGTTCATATAGCCTCGGCTATCACTTCCTTATGTCCGGTCGTGATGGTCAAGCGGATTAAGGCGTCCCTGTACATACCAGTTGTGGGAGTATGGGTTCGAGTCACTTCTGGGGTGTGAGTTTTCAGTTGTATATAGTCCTGGGGACCATTCAGGCTTGTTTGCATTTGTGTTCCTCACGTGTGCCCCAAAGAATGAGGTGATTTGATAAAATGCTATGCCCAAGATTACCATCCGAGTGCCGGCGGGGAAGTGGTTCATATAGCCTCGGCTATCACTTCCTTTTGTCCGGTCGTGATGGTCAAGCGGATTAAGGCGTCCCTGTACATACCAGTTGTGGGAGTATGGGTTCGAGTCACTTCTGGGGTGTGAGTTTTCAGTTGTATATAGTCCTGGGGACCATTCAGGCTTGTTTGCATTTGTGTTCCTCACGTGTGCCCCAAAGAATGAGGTGATTTGATAAAATGCTATGCCCAAGATTACCATCCGAGTGCCGGCGGGGAAGTGGTTCATATAGCCTCGGCTATCACTTCCTTTTGTCCGGTCGTGATGGTCAAGCGGATTAAGGCGTCCCTGTACATACCAGTTGTGGGAGTATGGGTTCGAGTCACTTCTGGGGTGTGAGTTTTCAGTTGTATATAGTCCTGGGGACCATTCAGGCTTGTTTGCATTTGTGTTCCTCACGTGTGCCCCAAAGAATGAGGTGATTTGATAAAATGCTATGCCCAAGATTACCATCCGAGTGCCGGCGGGGAAGTGGTTCATATAGCCTCGGCTATCACTTCCTTTTGTCCGGTCGTGATGGTCAAGCGGATTAAGGCGTCCCTGTACATACCAGTTGTGGGAGTATGGGTTCGAGTCACTTCTGGGGTGTGAGTTTTCAGTTATATATATATATATATATATATATATATATATATATATATATATATATATATATATATATATATATATATAATAATGTTGAATATGACCGAAAAGGTAAGATTAACAATTCTAACACGAATTTTCTCAATATTTCTTATGTTTCTATTCACTGTCGGTGGTAATTGAAATATCAAATCTCCAAAGTTCATTTCTATTTAAGGTCTGACGCCTGAACACGTTTCATAATTCTTTTTACATTTTCAAAGACTTGGTGGATAACACACACAAATTCATCTTGCTTATACTCGTTTTGGGTGAGGTGGGTATAAATTGGGTATGAAAACATAAGAATGGAAGTAACTGCAGAGGGCCTATTGGCCCATACCTCTTCTTCCTGCTTCTGTGTTGGTTTAGGGTCTTGAAGTGGGTAGATTATAGTTGTGCATTAATTGGCTGTTGATTGCTGGTGTTGACTTTTTGATGTGTAGTGCCTCACTGATGTCGAGCCTCTTGCTATCGCTGTATCTATCGATGATTTCTCTGTTGTTTGTTAAGATTACTCTGGTGATGGTTTGGTTGTGAGAATATATTTTATGTTTCTTGATGGAGTCCTGTTGTTTATGCATTGTTAATCGCCTGGAAAAAGAGACGTTGTTGTCTTGCCTATATACTAAGTTCTTTGGGGCTTACAGTAACCAAGTGGGCATTTGAAGGCAGAGACGACGCTGGTTTCCTTCAAGGCGTTCTGTTTGGAGTCTGGGGAGTTTTTCAAGAGTAGGTTGCCCGTTTTTTTGGTTTTATAGTAAATGTTCAATTGTATTTTCTGATTTTTGTCTGTAGGGATAACGTTCCTATCAACAATATCTTTCAGGACCCTTTCCTCTGTTTTATGAGCCGTCGAAAAGAAGTTCCTGTACAATAGTCTAATAAGGGGTACAAGTGTTGTGTTGGTTGACTCTTCAGAGGTTGCATGGCGTTTCACCATTCTATTTATGATGTCTTCAACAAACCATTAGAGAAGCCGCTGTTGACTAGGACCTGCCTTACCCTATAGAGTTCATCGACTCCGTGCTTCCATCCTGACCTGTGGCTGAGAGCACGGTCGACTTAAGCGTTGACAACACTCCTCTTGTACCTGTCTGGGCAGTCACTATTGGCATTGAGGCACATTGCTATGTTTCCATAGTGTAGGCTGCAGTGTGGATGCCTCCGCTCCTTTCCGTGACCGTTACGTCTAGAAAGGGCAGGTTTCCATCCTTCTCCATCTCGTAAGTGAAACTCAACATAGAATTCCACTCAAATGCCTCCTTCAGTTGCTGCAGACATCTGGCATCAGGTACCTGTGTAAAAATGTCAACATACCTGTAGTATATGGCGGGTCTCAAGTCCATGTCAACTAAGACCTGCTCGGTGGTGCCCATGTAGAAGTTCGCAAACAGGACACCTAGGGGAGAACCCATGGCGACCCCATCTACTTGCTAGGGGAAGGTAGGGGTGGGAGGGGGGTGTGTGGTAGGGGAAGGGAGGGGTGGGAGGGGGGGGGGTAGGGGAAGGGAGGGATGGGAGGGGGTGTGTGTGGTAGGGGAAGGGGGGGTGGGAGGGGGTGTGTGTGGTAGGGGAAGGGAGGGGTGGGAGGGGTGTGTGTGGTAGGGGAAGGAAGGGGTGGGAGGGGGTGTGTGTGTGGTAGGGGAAGGGAGGGATGGGAGGGGGTGTGTGTGGTAGGGGAAAGGAGAGGTGGGAGGGTGTGTGTGTGAGTGGTAGGGGAAGGGAGGGGTGGGAGGGGTGAAGCATGAGAGAGAGGGGCCGGCCAGTCAGTATACCGCTGGCTCAGGTAGTGAACAGTTGGGGGCCGCTCTTGTGTGTGTCCGCGCGCTCTCACTCTCTCTCACCGCTCTCACACACACTCTCACCTCTCCTTCACCCGGGAAGGATACCTCGGTACCATACACAACCATAGGTATGGTTTTGAACCATTTGCGAGTGCGTTTGTGTGACCAATAAGTTGTGTTCTACACTTGGAGTAGTGGCGGTGTAGCACTTGGAAAGTGACAGTGTTGTGATGGAACAAAGAACAAGTGGGTGTATTAGTGCCCGGGTGATCTGTGTGTGTGTTTGTGTGGGTCTGTCAGCTGGTTCACCTCGGGGGGGGGGGGGGGACTAGTGTTTCTCTCTTCCTTAACTATCCAGATGCAACAAGTGGGCCCAGGCTGCGTCAGTGGTCCAGTGGGGGCCACTGTGGTCCAGTGGGGGCCACTGTGGCCCAGTGGGGGCCACTGTACTCACCTAATTGTGCTTGCGGGGGTTGAGCTTTGGCTCTTTGGTCCCGCCTCTCAACTGTCAATCAACTGGTGTACAGGTTCCTGAGCCTACTGGGCTCTATCATATCTACACTTGAAACTGTGTATGGAGTCAGCCTCCACCACATCACTGCCTAATGCATTCCATTTATTAACTACTCCGATGGACTACACAGCCAGTGGTGGTCCCGAGGTGGCCCAGTGGTAACTAGTGGTGGCCCAGTACCAGCTGAGGTGGTAGTGGGTACTGTGGGACCTCTAGCAGTGCTCTTCACTACACATTCCTGCCAGTCTGCTTTCCCCCACCCCCTCCTCCTCCTCTCGTGGGAGGATAGAGGGATGGCTGCAGAGGTGATTAGGGGTAGTGTGGGTGTCCTAGGAGGGGGGGGGGGGAAGCCAGAGAAAGTCCCTTCCCCTCTCCCACTCCCCTACCCTCTCCCCCCCTCCTCCTCTACATCTCTCATACATGTGAAGAACCTCTCACACACTCACAGCTCCCTGACAAGAGGGAGCCAGCTTAGCTTAGCTGCCAACACCCACACATCGTGTCAGCAAGGCGGACAGTCCGCCTGCTGCCATACCTCTCACTGTATTTCCCACTTCTATACTTCCCTTCACCTATGCCTCTCCTTCCTCTTTACCCCCCCCCCTCCCCCCAGAAAAAAACGAGGAGTGGACTTTCTGGGTTCAATGTCCTCGCGGCCCGGTCCCAGACCAGGCCTCCTGGTCTAGCTGGGTGTACTGACTCATGACACCGTTACCCCCCCTCTCTACCCCCCCCCCCCCCACCTCTTGCCTTACACTGTCCCTTAAACAATATAATATTCAGTGCAGCATCTAAGAAGAACATCTGTGAGCGCGAGTCGTGCATATCTCCTGAAGCTTCTCGCGGCTCCATACATGAGGCTCTTGTGCTCGTTAGCGTACCGAGTAGCGTCGTTACGGGTACTGTGTGTGTGTGTGTGTGTGTTTACTAGTTGTGTTTTTGCGGGGGTTGAGCTTTGCTCTTTCGGCCCGCCTCTCAACTGTCAATCAACTGTTTACTAACTACTTTTTTTTTTTTTTTTTTTCCCCACACACACACCCCATGAAGCAGCCCGTGACAGCTGACTAACTCCCAGGTACCTATTTACTGCTAGGTAACAGGGGCACTTAGGGTGAAAGAAACTTTGCCCATTTGTTTCTACCTCGTGCGGGAATCGAACCCGCGCCACAGAATTACGAGTCCTGCGCGCTATCCACCAGGCTACGAGGCCCTATGCTGTGTGTCTGTCTGTCTGTGTGTCTGTCTGTCTGTGTGTCTGTCTGTCTGTGTGTTTGTCTGTGTGTCTGTGTGTCTGTCTGTCTGTGTGTCTGTCTGTCTGTGTGTCTGTCTGTCTGTACTCACCTAGTTGTGTTTGCGGGGGTTGAGCTCTGGCTCTTTGGTCCCGCCTCTCAACCGTCAATCAACAGGTGTACAGATTCCTGAGCCTATCGGGCTCTGTCATATCTACACTTGAAACTGTGTATGGAGTCAGCCTCCACCACATCACTTCCTAATGCATTCCATTTGTCAACCACTCTGACACTAAAAAAGTTCTTTCTAATATCTCTGTGGCTCATTTGGGCACTCAGTTTCCACCTGTGTCCCCTAGTACGTGTGCCCCTTGTGTTAAATAGACTGTCTTTATCTACCCTATCAATCCCCTTCAGAATCTTGAATGTGGTGATCATGTCCCCCCTAACTCTTCTGTCTTCCAGCGAAGTGAGGTTTAATTCCCGTAGTCTCTCCTCGTAGCTCATACCTCTCAGCTTGGGTACTAGTCTGGTGGCAAACCTTTGAACCTTTTCCAGTTTAGTCTTATCCTTGACTAGATATGGACTCCATGCTGGGGCTGCATACTCCAGGATTGGCCTGACATATGTGGTATACAAAGTTCTGAATGATTCTTTACACAAGTTTCTGAATGCCGTTCGTATGTTGGCCAGCCTGGCATATGCCGCTGATGTTATCCGCTTGATATGTGCTGCAGGAGACAGGTCTGGCGTGATATCAACCCCCAAGTCTTTTTCCTTCTCTGACTCCTGAAGAATTTCCTCTCCCAGATGATACCTTGTATCTGGCCTCCTGCTCCCTACACCTATCTTCATTACATTACATTTGGTTGGGTTAAACTCTAACAACCATTTGTTCGACCATTCCTTCAGCTTGTCTAGGTCTTCTTGAAGCCTCAAACAGTCCTCTTCTGTTTTAATCCTTCTCATAATTTTAGCATCGTCCGCAAACATTGAGAGAAATGAATCGATACCCTCCGGGAGATCATTTACATATATCAGAAACAAGATAGGACCGAGTACAGAGCCCTGTGGGACTCCACTGGTGACTTCACGCCAATCGGAGGTCTCACCCCTCACCGTAACTCTCTGCTTCCTATTGCTTAGATACTCCCTTATCCACTGGAGCACCTTACCAGCTACACCTGCCTGTCTCTCCAGCTTATGTACCAGCCTCTTATGCGGTACTGTGTCAAAGGCTTTCCGACAATCCAAGAAAATGCAGTCCGCCCAGCCCTCTCTTTCTTGCTTAATCTGTGTCACCTGATCGTAGAATTCTATCAAGCCTGTAAGGCAAGATTTACCCTCCCTGAATCCATGTTGGCGATTTGTCACGAAGTCCCTTCTCTCCAGATGTGTTACCAGGTTTTTTCTCACGATCTTCTCCATCACCTTGCATGGTATACAAGTCAAGGACACTGGCCTGTAGTTCAGTGCCTCTTGTCTGTCGCCCTTTTTGTATATTGGGACCACATTCGCCGTCTTCCATATTTCTGGTAGGTCTCCCGTCTCTAGTGACTTACTATACACTATGGAGAGTGGCAGGCAAAGTGCCTCTGCACACTCTTTCAGTACCCATGGTGAGATCCCATCTGGACCAACAGCCTTTCTAACATCCAGATCCAGCAGGTGTCTCTTGACCTCCTCTCTCGTAATTTCGAACTCCTCCAAGGCCGCCTGGTTTACCTCCCTTTCTCCTAGCACAGTGACCTCACCCTGTTCTATTGTGAAGACCTCCTGGAACCTCTTGTTGAGTTCCTCACACACCTCTCTGTCATTCTCTGTATACCTGTCCTCGCCTGTTCTAAGTTTCAATACCTGTTCTTTCACTGTTGTTTTCCTTCTGATGTGACTGTGGAGTAGCTTTGGTTCGGTCTTGGCTTTGTTTGCTATATCATTTTCAAAATTTTTCTCTGCTTCTCTTCTCACCCTGACGTACTCATTCCTGGTTCTCTGGTATCTCTCTCTGCTTTCTGGTGTTCTGTTATTCCGGAAGTTCCTCCACGCCTTTTTGTTCAGTTTCTTCGCTTCCATACATGCCCTATTATACCATGGATTCTTCTGTTGCTTCTCGGATTTTTCCCTTTGGGCCGGGATGAACCTGTTTACTGCCTCCTGACACTTTTGGGTAACATAGTCCATCATACCCTGTACAGACTTGTCTCTGAGGTCTGTGTCCCAAGGTATTTCACTTAGGAAACTTCTCATCTGTTCATAATTCCCTTTTCGGTATGCCAGCCTTTTGATTCCTAGTTCTTTTTGGGGGGAGATAAATCCTAGCTCTACCAGGTACTCAAAGTTCAATACACTGTGGTCACTCATTCCCAAGGGCGCTTCCATCTTAACTTCCCTTATATCCCATTCATTCTGTGTGTCTGTCTGTCTGTCTGTCTGTCTGTGTGTCTGTCTGTGTGTCTGTCTGTCTGTGTGTCTGTCTGTCTGTGTGTTTGTCTGTCTGTGTGTCTGTCTGTCTGTCTGTCTGTGTGTCTGTCTGTCTGTGTGTCTGTCTGTCTGTCTGTGTGTCTGTGTCTGTCTGTGTGTCTGTCTGTGTGTCTGTGTATCTGTCTATCTGTGTGTCTGTCTGTGTGTGTGTGTAGTGGTGTGTGTGTGTGTAGTGGTGTGTGTGTGTGTGTGTAGTGGTGTGTGTGTGTGTAATTACCTAAGTGTAGTTACAGGATGAGAGCTACGCTCGTGGTGTCCCGTCTTCCCAGCACTCTTTGTCATATAACGCTTTGAAACTACTGACGGTCTTGGCCTCCAACACCTTCTCACCTAACTTGTTAGGTGAGGTGTGTGTGTGTGTGTGTGTGTGTGTGTGTGTGTGTGTGTGTGTGTGTGTGTGTGTGTGTGTGTGTGTGTGTGTGTGTGTGCAGTGCGTGAAGGTACAATAGTGAGTGGTCTTCACGCTGGGAGTCAACAATGTGTTAGAGAAAGTGAATCTTGTTGTACAGCAACCACCCCTTTCCCCCCCTCCCTGGCTCCCCGCCAAGCTCGTCCTACATTGGTCATCAGAGGACCCCTTTACACCTCTCCTTAATGACACAGGAGCAGCAGGCCTTTTAACCTAACCAAGGAGCCTCGATTTGGTTCAGGAGCCTCGGTAGCCTTGCCCGGAGTTCCCTTATTGACACCATCTGATAATGTGTCTTGGGTCAATCTTAAGTACCTGTGTGTGTGTGTGTGTGTACGTACGAACGTAAAGTGAATCTGTTAACTCTCCTAAGCTTGTTCAAGTGTGTGTTACGACCGTCGCAAACTGCTTGTCTTAATTGTGTGTAATTTCCAAGCTCGTGTACAAACAAGGAGTTCACAGGTTGTTTGTGGTTAATGATGCTGTTCAAGACAT